CCAGTCTTAAAAACCAGGAAACTTGTGGGCAACACCCGTGTTGCCGTGTACCTGAGCCGAGCGGAGGGACTAGGGTTATGAGACAGACAAAACAGACAACACACAGTGGATCATTCTTGTGAAGAGAATGCCAGTTTATTCAAAGTCAAGCTGCACCTTTATAGTCTGCTTGGCCCCTCCCAGCACTTTCCCAATGCTCAAGCAACACCTAAGTTCCCCCTGAGGGCATGTAAAAAGGGGAAGCAGGAAGGAGGGAACTTGCAGTCAAGCCAGGGGCTAAATGTATCAGGTCAAGATTATGTCTCCTGTTAGACCTTGAGAAACAAACTAAGCTGTGGAGTTAACCCTTGGGAGACTGGGGCCTACAGAAACTCAGATGCAGAGAACTGAGGGGTATGTGCAGTGTCACACCAAGCTTAAATGGGGAGCCAGAGATTCTGCTCCACCACCCATGCATCTTTCTTCCTCACAGGTAACATCCAGCAGGTGGAAGTCAGCGTGCAGCTTTTAGCATCTTTCTCCTTGAACACTCAAAATGCACAAGTATAACCAAGAAACTGATGGCCTGGAAGCCCTTCTGACACAGGATGCCATCCTGTTCAGGGATGTGTGCTCCTTAGCCATGGCTGCATCCCAGCACATTTCCAGGAGGCCTGGATATTATACAATAGGAGACAGGTTGGGGTCCAGCTTGATAGCATAGCAGCTAAAGTCCTCGCCTTGCATGTGCCAACATCTCATATGGGCACCGGTTATAATCCCAGTGGCCCTGCTTCCTATCCAGCTCCCTGCTTGTGGCCTGGGAAGGCAGTCAAGAACGGCCTAAAGCCTTGGGACCCTGCACCTGCATGGGGGACCTGGAAGAAGCTCCTGCTTCCTGGCCTCGGATTGGCTCAGTTTCAGCCATTGTGCCTGCTAGGGGAGTGAATCGTTGGAGGGAAGATCTTCTCTGTCTCTTCTCCTCTCTGCATATCTGACTTTCCAAATAATTTTTTTTTAAAAAAAAAAAGAAAAGAAGTAAGAGACAGGTGGGGTGGCTGGAGTTTACATGGGATATTCCTTGAGGTTTAAAAAGACACCAAGCCTGCTCTAGCCCTACCTTCCCAGATGGTTCCTCTGTAGGACACCTCCCTTGACTGTGAAAGGAAGAGAAGAGATTGTTAATTAGAAATTGTATTGATGCTGCCATTTCCATTTACAATTTTTCCGAACAAGCAAACTCTTTCAAAGCATGATTGATTGATTGATTGATTGATTGATTGATTGATTGATTTGAAGGGCAGGATGGCAGGTCTTTCATCTACTGGCTCCCTCCTCCAGATGCCCACACAGCTGAAGCTGAGCCAGGTTGAAACTAAGAGTGAGTGAGTGGCTTGGGCCTTCATTTACTTCTTTCATAGGCCCATTCCATTGGCAGGAAGCTAGATCAGAAGTGGAGCAGCCAGGATTCCAACAACCACTCCAATATGGGATACCAGCATTGCAAGTGGCAGGTTAATCTGCTGTACCACACTGCCCTAACAACATTCTAACACATACCCATATTATTCGTGTCTTAAACTCTACTTAGATCTTAACAGGAATGTATATGTGGTTGAGAAAAAACAATAAACCCCACTCTGGGTATGTGATGCCTACATTAGAAAAGGTTTTGAAGGACTGATATGGTGTCATAAGAGGTGAAACTTCCACCTGCATTGTCAGCAGCATCCCATATGGGCAACAGTTCTAGTCCTAGCTGCTGCAGGTGAAATCCAGCTCCCTTTTTACATACTAGGAAAGCAACGGAGGATGACCCAAGTCCTTGGGCCCCTGTAGCCACATGAGAGACCTAGAGGAAGCCTCTAGATCCTAATGTCTGGCTTTTGGCTTTGGATCAGGTCAGCTCTGACAGTTGCAGCCATTTGGGAAGTGAATCATCAGATGGAAGACCTTCTCTCTCTTTCTCTCTGACTGTCTCTCCTCTCTGTAAGCCTTCCTTTCAAATAATTTTTTTTTTAATTTTTGAAGTGTCCCTTTATTTGACATCTCAAAAGTGTCCCTTTTCTGCATCCTAAGGAAATAACTCTTTTTTAAAAAATAAATATTTATTTGTTTTTATTGTGAAGTCAGATATACAGAGAGGAGGAAAGACAGAGAGGAAGATCTTCCATCCGATGATCCACTTCCCTAGCAGGCACAATGGCTGAAACTGAGCCAATCCGAGGCCAGGAAGCAGGAGCTTCTTCCAGGTCTCCCATGCAGGTGCAGGGTCCCAAGGCTTTAGGCCGTTCTTGACTGCCTTCCCAGGCCACAAGCAGGGAGCTGGATGGGAAGCAGGGCCACTGGGATTATAACCGGTGCCCATATGAGACGTTGGAACATGCTAGGTGAGGACTTTAACCACTATGCTATTGCAGTGGGCCAGGGAAATAAATCTTAATACAGGAACTATGAAGAAAAATTAGGTAATTGGAAAAGGGGAGTCAGAACTTTTCAGACTGACCACAGAGGTTCCCCTCAGGTAGATTCATTTTAGACACCAAAGCACATACGGAAGTTGAAGGCTGGGAAGAGGAACCCTATAAAATAGCCCACAAGTGCCTAATACTCTTTGGGAAGACTTCATGGGAACACAGCCAGCTACACTGTCACTTGCAATGCTGAGGTGTCCTAGGTCTAGAGTGCTGGTCAGTAGTCCTAACTGCTCTGCTTCTGATCCAGCTGTCTGCTAAACACCTGGAAAGTAGCAGGGATCAAGTATCTGTACCCCTGCCACCCACATGGGAGACTTGGATGAAGTTCCAGGCTAATGACTTCAGCCTAGACCAATCCCCACCATTGTAGCCATTTAGGGAGTGAGCCAAGGGACAGATCTCTCTTCTGTCTCTTCCCACCCCTTCAAAGAAATAAACATGTGTTTGGAAGAAACATGATAGAAGCAAGACAAGCCAACTTATGTACCTGCAGAATGATGGGACATAGGCGTCTATGAGGATCCTGGCCCACATCGTAGGTGGCACAGCCCAGACCTGTCCATGCCCCTGAACTTTTTGAGGGGTTCAGTGTGCTTGGTGGGCTGGAGCTTTGTCAGGTTCAAGGCACGGGTGCATTCTGAGACACAGGTGGGACAGTGATGCTTCTGCAGTCTCCACACGTGCCCCAGTGGCCGCAGTGATGGGCTGTGTGCACAGGGAGCAGTGGTAAGCTGCAGTGCTCACCTGGGATCCTCCTTCCCAAACACCTGTCCCTTCAAGGTACTTGTTTGTCTTTGAGAATCCACATCTTTAATTATAAGGTGTGTCTGCCCCTGTTTTAACCGCCTTCTTGAGATATAATTTACATATCATATAGATCACCTGTCTAAAATGTGTAAATCATGATTTTCAGTGCATTTCAGAGTTATACCTTTCTATCTATAAACCCAAATCTTCCTTCATAATAGTTCCTTTTCTTCCTCTATCCCATTTCTTCTCAGTGTGTTTTTTTTTTTAAGATTTGTTTATTTTTATCAGAAAGGCAGATTTACAGAGAGAAGGAGAAACAGAAAGACTTTCCATCGACTATTTTGCTCCCCAAGTGGCCACAACAACCAGAACTGAGTCGGTCTGAAGCCAGGAGCCTGAGGGCTGACTCCTTCTTTTTGTTTTTTAAAGATTTATTTTTTATTTTTATCACAAAGTCAGATATACAGAGAGAGGGAGAGACAGAGAGGAAGATTATTCTGTCCGATGATTCACTCCCCAAGTGACTGTAATGGCTGGTGCTGTGCAGATCCGAAGCTGGAATCCAGGAACTTCTTCCAGGTCTCCCACATGAGTGCAGGCTTCCAAGGCTTTGGGCCATCCTCTGCTGCTTTCTCAGGCCACAAGCAGGGAGCTATACAGGAAGTGGAGCAGCTAGGACTGGGGCCCATAAAGAATACCTGCACTTGTAAGGTATGGATTTAGCCTCTGAGCCATCATAAGGATCCCTTCTCTTGAGTTTTGATCCTTATACTTGCAGCTTAGTCCTCCTGGATCTTAGCCCCCGCCCCCCCAGGGGCTAGGTTTTCTGACTGACTTTCATCCCTGTATTGATGTGGCTAATTGAACTAGCATCCCTGCTTGCTCTTCCAAATATCTTGCTAATATTCTCAACAGAGTCCAGTCTCCTATAATCTACTAAAATTTGAAACTTGAATATCCATTTACATATTTGTATATTTACATTTTGTATAATATACATAATACATATTACATACATAATTAGTTATATGTTTTTAGGGATCTGATTGGATCCTCTTGCCTGAACTTACTTATTTCCATATCTTTCACAAGATGCTTTCCACAGGCCCCTCTAGTGAAAGGCATCTTTTTGGGTATTCAATTTGGCTTCTCTTTCTGAGTGCTAGGTCCCTCCCTTGACATAATGATAATGATGGTGATAGTGGTTGCCCACTTGTGGCTCAACGTGACCTACATGATAAGCTATAGCAGTTAGGTTTGCAGACCCTAGAAAAAGCCCACTAGTGTTGGAAAACAGAGCAGATTCCACTGATTTGAACTGGGGTGAAGCCACCAGTGAACTGCAAACTCTCTCCTGAGGGCTCTGTCATCCCTTCACACCTCTCAGTGGATTCAGAGCCACTGAACCTCCAAAACAGCTCTCCCCATCCTCCAAGGCCTGGAGCATCCAGCAACCTTCTCCCTAGACCCACAGAAGGAAGACATGCACGTGGAGGTACAAGACTCTCAGGCCTGCCCCCACCACGGGCCTCTGCCCATATCCTTTAGAGGTGAGATCTTAGCAGGCCAGAAAGTCTTTCCCTTGGGAAAACAGGAGCCACAAGAGAGCACTCAGAGGCCGGTGTTAGCTAGCATCCCTGTCCCAACAAACAGACCAGCTCCATAAGTACCTGAAGTGCCCTGGAAACTGTGTCTTTGAATGGACACACCCTGTCCCCACGATCTTCATCTTGCTGGGCTCCTGGCTGTCCTTGTGCCACACCCTTGTCTCTATTATCCAAGGGCCTAACTAAGCAAAGAGCCCACAGAACCTCGCCACCTGCCCTCTCTGCCGATTTGAATGAGTCTTAGAGATGCACAGGAGTCCTGCCTGGAGCGAGAAGGATTAGAAAATGGAGTTGCACCGACACAAACAAGTTCTACTGACTTTTACTTTTAACCTCCACAGGGAGATTTGGGTCGGTGGGTGGATTTCAGAATGGGGGGGGGGGTCTCTCAGAAAACTGAGAAATTCTACTCAGCATTGTGGGCACACATGGGTGAGTGTGGTCAGCTGTATTGGATGTATTTATTTTTTAGCTTAATGACCAGTGTATCATCCTCTTCGTGGTAAAGACAAGAGAGGGGAGGAAGTGTCAGGGACTCCAACAATGCCATGAGGAGTCACTGGGGATGAACAAAAGGCAGCTCAGGTTGCTGACTCCCCAGGTGAAGAGGTGGCCCTCAGGGCCCGTGGTGTCTCCCGTCCATCTCCATGGTTTCCGGAGATCCTGGTCTCCTCCAGAACCTGTCAGTGCTCCACCGAGGTCTGTGGTGGACTCCGTTATGTCTTGGTGGGCCCCCGCCAGGATTGGAGAAGTGGGGGCGATAGAGAGCTGCGTCAAAAGTGCTTCTCAGGGACAGGCATTCTCTCTAGAAAAGGAAGAATCACTGGTTTGAGAACTGTATCTTTCCCAAGGCTTCCCCACTGACTGCTCTAGAATCTCCCCACCCCCACCACCCCTGACACTCCTCCCTTCAGTCCTTATCCTCTTAGGAACTCACAATGAAATAGAAGAGTCCAGCAAAGAGTCCCACGGCCACCACAACTGTGAACAGGGTGATGAGGGTGATTTCCAATGGCTCCAGGGAACTACTAGGCTTTGGCGAAGTAGTACTGTTTGTGCTGATTGTGTTGGAGGTGGTAGACAGTCCAGTGGAAGCAGATGGGCCAGAGCTCACACTAGATACAAGGTTGGAGACTGCGGTGGTCCCACTTGAGGCTGTGCTTTTTCCATCTGAATGTATGCTGGATGTGGTATTAGAGGTTGTGCTGGTCCCACTTGAGGCTGTGCTTGATGCACTGTTGGTGGTTGTGCTGGTCCCACTTGAGGCTGTGCTGGTCCCACTAGAGGCTGTGTGGGATGCACTGTGGGTGGCTATGATGGTCCCATTTGAGGCTGTGCTGGTCCCACTAGAGGTTGTGTGGGATGCACTGTTGGTGGCTGTGCTGGTCTCACTTGAGGCTGTGCTGGTCTCATTTGAGGCTGTGCTGGGTGCTGTGCTGGTCCCACTTAAGAATGTGCTGGGTGCAGTGTTTGTAGCTGTGTTGGTCTTGCTTGAGGCTGTGCTGGGTGCTGTGGTGGTGGCTGTGCTGGTCTCACTCAAGGCTGTGCTGGGTGCACTGTGGGTGGCCGTGCTGGTCCCACTTGAGGCTGTGCTGGTCCTGCTTGAGGCTGTGCTGGTCTCACTCGAAGCTGTGCTGGTCCCACTTGAGGCTGTGCTGGTCCCACTTAAGAATGTGCTGGGTGCAGTGGTGGTGGCTGTGCTGGTCCCAATAGAGGCTGTGCTGGTCCCACTTGAGGCTGTGCTGAGTGCTGTGGTGGTGGCTGTGCTGGTCCCAATAGAGGCTGTGCTAGGTGGACTGTTGGTGGCTGTGCTGGTCCCGCTTGAAGCTGTGCTGGTCCCGCTTGGGGCTGTGCTGGGTGCACTGTTGCTGGCCGTGCTGGTCCCACTAGAGGCTGTGCTGGGTGCAGTGGTGGTGGCTGTGCTGGTCCCGCTTGAGGCTGTGCTGGTCCCGCTTGAGGCTGTGCTGGGTGCAGTGGTGGTGGCTGTGCTGGTCCCGCTTGAGGTTGTGCTGGTCTCACTCGAGGCTGTGCTGGTCCCACTTGAGGCTGTGCTGGGTGCAGTGGTGGTGGCTGTGCTGGTCTCACTCAAGGCTGTGCTGGTCCCACTTGAGGCTGTGCTGGTCCCGCTTGAGGCTGTGCTGGGTGCTGTGGTGGTGGCTGTGCTGGTCCCACTTGAGGCTGTGCTGGTCCCGCTTGAGGCTGTGCTGGGTGCTGTAGTGGTGGCTGTGCTGGTCCCACTTGAGGCTGTGTTGGTTGTAGTGTTTGTAGCTATGCTGGTCCCACTTGAGGTTACGCTAGGTGCAGTGTTGGTGGCTGTGCTGGTCCCAGTTGAGGCTGTGTTGGTTGTACTGGCAAGGCTTGTGCTGGTTTCACCTAAGGTAATAGGTAATAGGATTTGGCCCAATATTGCTAAGCATGCCAACCTCATTATAAGTTAATCCTAATCATGTATAATGACAAATACATATTGCATATATTTTCAATATACTCTTTTTTTTTTTTATTGTTGCTTACATTGTATTATGTAGTACAGTTTTATAGGCACTGGGGATTCCCCCCACCCCTCCCATACCCCTCCCCCATTCAATATACTCTTTAGTCATCACATGAATAATGTTATTTAATGCAGTTTTAACTCTGTACGTATATAATATTATCACTTACAGAAATTATGTAGTTACTGATCAAAAATATTGGCACTTGTCTAACTTTATACAGCTAGTAACATCTATAACAACAATTTTACCCTGACTGTTGAATCTATACTTTCAAGGACTAAGTAAGGTAAATCACTCTCCCACATAGCCCGGATGGCCAAATCCTGTGACCTAGAGTTACTGGTAGATAAGCTTATTGCAAGTTCTCTTTTACAAGATCCAATATACATATGGTATTAAAGACACTGTAGGAAGGCGAAACTAGTAGATTTTGATTAATTCTTTCTTAAAATAGTACTGCTCAGGCTCAGCCCAATGATTCAATGGCTAAATCCTCATCTTGTGAGTGCCAGCATCCCATACAGGTACCAGTTCATGTCCCTACTGTTTCATGCCCATCCAGCTCTCTACTTATGGACTGGTAAAGCAGTAGAGGATGACCCAAGGTCTTGGGACCCTTCTCCCATGTGGGAGACCCTAAAGAAACTCCTGGCCTCTGGGTTTGGATTGACAGTTTGAGCGCTGTAGCCATTTGGGGAGTGAAACAGCAGATGGAAGTTCTTTCTGTCTCTTCTTCTCTCCATAAATCTGATCTGCCTTTCTGCTAAAAATAAAATAAATCTTTAAAAAAAAATAGTGCTGTTCCCTTGTAGAAAATGCTTCTGGAAAAATCTGCATCCGAATCGCCTGGGCAAACTTGTTGAATACATAGTTTCCCAGGTTCCAAAGGAAGTAAAGCAGAATTTCAGGTGGGGTCCAGGTATTTCCCAGGCCCAGGTGGTTCCAAATGCTATGAAGTTCCAAGGGCTGCTGCAGCTCTGGCAAAGGTGAATTTCAGTAGCTCACATGCATACGATCTTCTAGTATTAAGAGCTGCAAACCCTCGCCTACAGACAGGGGGGAGGTCTCCAACATCTGGGAGCTAAGCTGGGCCTTGTTTTCGCCTCTCACCATCAGGGCAGCCTGAAGCTTTCCGTTCAACTATGACTCACTTCAGTACTAACCAGAACATAGGTACCCAGCACTTCACCCAGCAAATGTGTTCCTTAGACTTATTGGAACTAACAGGATTAGAAACTAGCTCTATTTGGGTAGGGCTTCCCAAAAAGCAGCAGTGAGGTACAATTTATGTAAAGGTCAGAGCATGAACAAAAAATAACAAGAGATCAGGGTAACCAGAAATAGGAGGGACAAGTGGAGAGGGGATAGGTAGAGCTGATCTAGGAGTTTAGGGAAGAAAGAATTAACTAGTCCATTTTATAGGACAATAATAATTCATAAGGATCTATTCTTTTTTTTTCTTAAGATTTATTCTATTTTTATTGGAAAGTCAGATAAACAGAGAGGAGGAAAGACAGAGAAGAAGATCTTCCATCTGTTGATTCATTGTCCAAGCAGCCGTAATGGCTGGAGCTGCACCAATCTAAAACTAGGAGCCCAGAGCCTCTTCTGGATCTCCCACATGGGTGCAGGGTCCCAAGGCTTTGGGTCATCCTCAACTGCTTTCCCAGGCCGCAAGTAGGGAGCTGGATGGGAAATGTGGCTGCCAGGATTAGAATCAGCTCCCATGTGGGATCCCAGTGCATGCAAGATGAGGACTTATGCCACTAGGCTACCACACTGGGCTTAGGATCTGTTCTTTAAGATACATGCTTTAAAGGCCAGCACGTTGGCTCCACCAGCTAATCATCCACCTCCAAGGGCTGGCATCTCATGTGGACGCTGATTCATGCCCCAGTTGCTGCACTTCTGGAAAAGCAGCAGAGGATGGTCCAATGCCGTGGGCCCCTGCTCTCACATGGAAGGCCCCAGAAGAAGCTCCAGGCTCCTGGCTTTGAGTTGGTTCAGCTCTGGCCTTTGCGACCATTTGGAGAGTGAGCCAGCAGTTGAACGATATTTCTGTCTCTCCTCTCTGTAAGTCTGCATTTCCAATTTTAAAAAGATGCATGCTTCCCATTTAAGCATAGGGTATCAGAGCTGTGGAAATGGGATGGGAGCGCCTTTTGCTTCAGAAATACTTTTCTCCTTGGTCTGAGGCTGACTCAGGCTGATGTCGAATCAGGGTTAAGTAGTGAAATCGTTCAGAGCATAGAGAAGTAATTTTTCAAAATAGTCAACTCTTCTCTTTAAATCCCAACTATCTCACAAATTTCACAGGCACAGACATGGAGACCCTGGAAGAGCCATTCACCTCAAGGCCACAGTTCACAGGTGCAGCGCTGATTTGTTCACCTGGACCGCCTGAGACTGGAGCCCACAGTCTTAACCGATGCGTTCTAATCGCCTCCTTGGTGATACAATGCTAGACAGAGGTGATAAGAGGAAAAGGATTCCTGGGAGAAGAGCCAGCTAGTCCTGGCTGCAGTCACATCTCCTACTATGCTGAAAAGGTTCTCAGAGCACCCAGTGTTAAATAAAAGGACTTACCAAGTGTTAAAAGTAGGAGACACAAGAGTAACCAATACGTAAGAAGGACATTGCTTTTCTTCATCATCATTTGCCTCTTTACAGCTGCAAAGCAAGGTGCTTGGATCCCAGATGTAGTTGAGACCTAGATGGTCTTGAGAAAGGTAAAGGCTGGCACTTCTGGGGGCTTGGGTCTCCTAAAGCTTTGCTCTTGGGAAGAACTCTGAGCTGCAGGTCAGCAGGCAAGGGGCCAGATGCTAGGGTTCCTTTTGCTTCCTCTGTGCAATGTTGTGCCTCTTGCCCAACTGTGAAGGAACGCAGGGGCCTTTATAGCTTCCCATGGGCTGGGAAGGGGTTGGGCAGAGGAGCTGACGTTTTGCCAGCTGTGAGCAGGTGACAAAGCAGTACTGAGCTTGGGGAGGTATAGACCAAGGTTGGGGGGTGGGTCAGGAGGAAGGTGAGAAGGGAGAATGACATGATCACTTCAGGCAGGGCTTTGGGCTGGGCTGCAGCAGGAAGTAGAAAAGAATAAAGAGATCAAGTTTTAAGAGTGGAGGAGACCCACCCTCAGGGGCAGGGATGGCAGTAGAAACCTGTTGCCTGGCCAGGGACTCACCATGGACCTGCTCCAGCCACGGAAGAAGCAAGCCCTCATGAATGCAGCTAAGGGGGACCAGATCTTAGCCTTGAAACTAACAGGGATGTGAGGCTCAAAAGCGAACAGTACGTGGAGATCTGGCCCTTGGGCAAGGGCCAGAACACAAGTGGGGTTTTTCTGGGTTTGCCTGTGGAGTGAACAGCGGAAGAGACTTAGGGGTGTTGGTGCAGTTTGGGTTTCGGTGACAAAGTGCTTGTTGCAAAGCGGAGGCTCATTTACAGCTAAGGAGGTTGGAAGCCGGAACCTGGATACCCCCATCTGCTTGGCCCCAGTGGGTGCAACATGTGCCTGCACCAGAGGGCGGGCTCACCAGTGAGACAGGAGACAAGAGAGGTTCAGGGACAGGTCAGGTGCCCTCCTAAGGACCTGCTTCTTTACAGCTCCTTGAGGAAAACACAAATCCCTTCCAAAGGCCTAATCACCATTCACTGGGCCCCACCTCTTAAAGGTGCCAGCTCTTTTCACATTCACCACTGTGAGGACAGAAGCCTCCAGCACCTGTGCCTCCTGGGGTGGAGGAACCATCTGGAAACAAGGACAGGGTCTCTGGGCTGTGGGCACAGGGAGGGGGTTTAGGGTACAGGAGCAAGTTACCCCCAGACTCACTGCAAACAAAAGGGTGAGGGTTCTTTTCAACCTTCCACCGGAGGCATCCCCCTCCCTCTCCCTGACCACTGTGGCCTGACCCTGACCATTGTGACCATTAGGAAGTGAGCCAGCAGATGGATGATCTCTCCCTTTCCCTCTTACTGTCTTTCTGTCTCCTGTCTCATTTTAATTGCTGTCCCCCTCTCTCTGTCTCTCTCTCTCTCTGCCTGTCTTCATATGGGAAGGAAATGAGATCCCCAAGCTCTTTTCAATGCAGCATTGCTTGTGAGTGGAGCCCTTATAGCTGAAACACTTCCCATTAGGGTTCTATATCCTGGAAGACGGAAATATTTGAATCAACAGCCACTCAATCTGTGTGATTTGAAGTTGCAAACCCAGATGAAGCTTTTGTAACTAACAACCCTGATGAGAGAGGTTTTTTTTAAGCCCCCAATACTTGGTGCTGAGCTAAGAGACACTTGTTCCTCACAGATCCCATTGCGTGAGGTGGACAATGTAGTTTTTTGTTTAACCACACAGTGAAGGCTAAGCCCTTTTAGGCCTCTGGTTTATTTAGACTCTCCTGCTTGACTCCACTCTGTGCCAGCCCTGTGCTCCACCTCTATGCTAAGCAGTAAGAAGTTGCCAAAAGACAGTCCTGAGCTCAAGTTCAAGAGATGCAGCGAATCCCCTCAGCAAAAGCTGACTCAGGGCTCTCTGGGCTCTGTGAGTTTCTTCCTTCTGTCAGTTACTTATTTAAGTATCACTCATCAGGGGCTGGCATTACAGGCTAAGATGTAGCCTTTCAGTACTGGCATCCCAAATTGGTACCAGTTTGAGTCTCAGCTACTACATTTTCAATCTATGGTCTGGGAAAGCAGTGGAGGATGGTTCAAAACCTACACCAACATGGGAGACGAAGAAGTTGCTGTCTCCTGGCTGCAGCCTGGCACAGCCCTGGTGGGGTTATTTGAAGAACAAATAAGTGTATAAAAGATCTCTCCTCTCTCTCTCTCTCTCTCTCTCTCTCTCTCTCTCTCTCTCTCTCTCTCTCTTTCTCTGCC